AGTGGCGCCTGTGGCAGTTTCAATGGCACAGCCGCTGGGAGGTATCACCATGAGCCACGCCACCACGCCCATGGTGACGTACCCCATCGCGTCGCAGAGCATGAGGATAACAGCCATGCCACACTAACCGCCCACAAAGGGCCCCACGTACCGCCATGGGTCCGGGCTGTTCGGAGCTGCCCCCGGCAGGCGGAAGGGCTCCGTCCTTTGGGGAGACTGGAACCGAGAAGGGAGAGAATTGAACGGAAACCCTTGGAAACCTCTCTCCCTTGCGGGAGAGGCCTTTTAGGGGATGGGTTTTCCACCCTGCAGGCGAGTGACCTGGATTTCCCTTAACCTCTAGCAACACACGTGGTCTTCCACAAGGCAGCAGAATTCAGGGATGAAGGGCTTTAATGCCACATGATTCGAAGGGTACAGTAACCTCCGAGCCTTTGCCCGTCACTTGTATCTTTGCCCAAATACCTGCCCCTCCGTAGCCCTGCGAGTTCAGGAACTCAGTCTATCGCCCGGCTATGGCAGTATCATTTCACTGACAGGACACACCAGACTGGAGGCTGTAGGGTGGGAGCTTGGGTCCCCTGACTTGCTGTTCTCTAGTAGGGATTCTGCCTGAGCCCCCTGGGAAGCCCGGGAGTATCAGGGAAGCGAGACCCTGGGGACAGCGCCTCCCCCAGAGCTGGCAGAAAGGCTGGGTCTGTCTGGCAGCCTCTCCTAGGGGGAATGGCCCTGGGGCAGCTTTGCCTGGTGATGAAATGGTTAAATCCCAAATAGGATTTGGGCTTGTGTGTAAACTCAGCCCTGTTGCTTTAAAAGGGGGCAACACAACCTAGACTCTAGGAAACTGTCTCTACGGTGGCCTTGAGAGCATCCCTGTTCCAGTCACCCCCCAGGGAGAGGGTGGCGCATTCCTAGGACCATCTGAATCCCGGAGGGGGGTGTTCACCAATTCCAGCAGACGTTGTTGCTGAATTGCTCATAAACCCCAGGGTTGGAAATAAACCCAGCCGCGGCCGTGGGGCGCTAGTTAAAACGTGATAGCGTCTGACCCCGCTTTGCCTCGCAGCTCATGGGGTGGGGATTGCCTTCTGCTGGAGGTCGTGGGTTGAAATAAACTCCTCTCTGTTGCTTTATGAATTGGCAGGGCTCCTCCGGTCACCTCCCGCGGCAGAGCAGCTCGCTGAAAGGAGACCAGAGTTGGGCAGCGATCCTGCCAGGTCCCTGAGCACCCTCAGACCCGCTCATCAGTTCCCTCTGGAGCTGTTGGCACTGGCAAATGTGAGCAAATCCACCCGTGCCCTGAGCACCCCTCACACCCTTCGCCATCCACCAGCCACTTCCGTGCCTGAGCCTCCCCACCCCGAGACTTCCATCTGCCTCTTACGGCCACTTTCTCTGTTCCCCCATTCACACGTCCTCAAAGCAACCTGGTTCAAAGAGACCCCTCCCTCCCTCCCTCCTATGCTGTATTTTTGTTTCTAAAACCGAAGCTCACCAGGGGTCTAGAGTAGGTTTTGCGTAGTTCTGTCTGGGTTTGAGAACTTAAAGAGGAGGAGAATGCTTTACAGACGGAGCTCTTTCTACGAGCGCTGAACTTTGTAAGTCTAGCAGTTTAGTTCTGTGACTGCAGTGTAAAGTTTTCAGCTATTAAAGGAGAACGTACAGCCCCCGACGGATATATTCTGGTGTTGACACTCGCTCTTTAAAGCGCTGGTTAGCCCCCTGATGGAACGTTTGCCTTTCATCTGAGCATATCCAAGCACTTTACGGCGGGCTGGGATGTCTATAAACCCCACTGAGATGTCGGTAAGGGCTACGTGGGCACCACTGAAATGCAGCCACCTCTGGGGTGAAATGTATCAGTGCTCCACGGGGGATGTGCCGGGGCATCTTTAGTAGCTGAACAAAAGCAGGAGCTCTGCTTTACGTGGTAGCACCATGTTGGTGCATCAGTTCCTTGCGGAGTCAGGAGCGCGCCCCCTACTGGATTGCTCCAGTCCCTTCTCGCAGCTTGCGTGGAGTCTCCCATCCCAGGGCTGAGTCTCCCATGACCACGGCTCCTCTTAGCCTGCGATGGGCGCTGACCAGTCGCAGTGTGGAACGGTATCCTGGCTGGCCTGTCACCCCTGCACTTGGGAGAGCCTCTCTGATCTAGGCGCCGAGAAACCAACATTTTCCAATTTTGTCTGTGCAGTGTGCTGCATCTTCGCTATTTGAAGACCCTTTCCCACGGGCTCTAGGATTTGGTTTCAGCAAGCGGGGAAAGCTTGTAGGAAGATTGGGTCAAGTGACTGAGCCGGCGGGGAACCCTGATAGTTGTTCCACCATGTGCAGGGCGCTGAGATCGGCATGTAGCAGCTGCCTCCCTGCCCAGGTAGGTAGAGCAGGGCCCGGGGAGTCACGGCTACTGCTGTCCTCAACTTCGCTCCCCTTCAGGGCTGGCTGTTACCCCCCCAGTGACTTGGTGACAGCTTCCCAGAGCGACTCCCGCTCTCCGCAGGGACAGCCCTAGCACCCTCGGGGGCTCCTCCAGAGAGGTGCAGTGGGTAGAGTCGGTGCTTGGTTGGGGGGGACTGTTTGTGCGTGGAAGTGATGGCACTTCGCGCTCTGTTCCAGCAGCACTGACCTCGTACACGGACAGCAATGGGCTTGAAAAGGGGCTCTCCAGGGGCCAGACTGTACAGGTGATGGCTAGTCTGCAGCCCGCCCGCCCCTGGCTGCTGCAAAGGGCCCACGGTTACAATTTCCTTTTGCCCCAGCTCTGCGTTGTTACCCCCCGGGTTAGATCGTCGGTTCAGACCACTGCTGTAGCAGGGAGACTCCCTCTGGTCTCGCTTTGTGCTGCAGCCAGGGGGTGAGGGATTAAAGCCCTGGCTCATTCCTTGTTTACACGGAGGCAGCTCCTTGGAGCTTCAGAGCCATTCAGTGCGCTGCGCTCCTGCAGTCATCGCCCGTCTGGGCCTCTCGCAGGCTAGGCACTAGGTGAATAAAGTCCAAGACCAGAGCAAACCATGGAGGTTATCTAGTCTGACCCCCCCGGTAACAGAGGCCAGAGAACTCCCCCAAACTAATTCCTAGAGCAGAGCTAGAAAACCATCCAATCTTGCTTTAGACATTGCCACGGCTGGAGGATCTCTCAGGACCCTGGGTGAATTGTTCCGATGGTTAATTACCCTCCCAGTTACAAATTTACACTTGATTTCCAGTCTGAATGTGTCTAACGTCAGCTCCCAGCTGTTGGATTGTGTTATTCCTTTGTCTGCTAGACCGAAGAGCCCGTTACCAAATATAGGAACTTAAACTCAGCAAGTCCCCTCTTAACCCGCTCTGTGCTCAGTGAAATAGATCCGAGGAGCTCAGTCTGTCTGTCTATGTAACTGAAAGCACTGGAGCGATGCTCCCCCCTTGGAAATGGGCTCCCTTAGGGCTGGTTTGATGCAGGTGGGAGCTCAGAGACTGGTGAGGGTGGTTCACTTCGGTGGTGTTTGCGAGCTGCTTGTCTGACTTTCCCCCAGTGGTGGGGTTTCCAGCTGGCAGCCTGGTTCCCTGCACACTTTGTTCCTTGCCACACCTGCCTGGAGCGTACAGGGACAAGACACCCTCTCAGCCAGGGCAGCTCCCTGCTAGAATCAGCCGGGCATGGCGGAGGTATGCAAAAGGCGTCTTGGCTGGACGCTGCTCTTTGCAGATCGGTGGTTGTGAGAGTAACGTGTACGTAGAGAGAGCCCCGTTCTGCCCCAAAGCTTCCAGTAAACTACTCGCCCTTTGCCGCTGAAAGGCAGCCAACGCAAGGCGCCAGTCACCCTGAGAGGCTGTAGCTGGGGGCCTGGAAGATCTGTGTAATTGACTGTGTAACCTTCCCCACTGCCACCCCCCATCAGTTTATCTCACCTGACGGGCTCATTGCATCTGCCTGAGCTTCCGACGTGTGGTTCCAGGAAGTCTAAGCATTGGAGTCCCTGTCTTTAGGCCTTTAAACCATTGCCCCTGGCAATGCATCCCTGCCCTTCCTGCCTATACGCTGGAAGAGCGCGTGCTCACTTCACGCTCAGGTTCTGGGTTGCTCTGGAAATAAGTGAGGCTGTGGTAGGGTCTTATCTGTAATAGCACGGGGCGCAAAAGCCCCTGCCTTCCCCCACTGCCATCTGCTCTGATGCGCCAGCCCCAGCCTTTGTTTCTACTGCACTGCTCCAGGCAGCTGGCACCAGGCCTACCCTAGCGTGGGGGTTATTTATGTTCCAGCAGCTGGATTGGAAGCCTGGTAAGCTATCGCCAAGGCCCAAGGGATGAACTTTCAGCTGCCATGGTGTATTCAATCAATCAGAGACGGCTTTAAACCCACGGGGTTTTGTTTAACCGGGAAGGCTCGAGGCCAGCGATGCACACACGTAACTGCAACAGCAATTATCCTGTTGGCAGAAGAGACGCTTAGAGCTCTCAGCAACGAGTAATATTCAGCGTGAGCCAGACAGCAGCGGACGTGTCTAGCTCTTTATGAAACACCTTGGAAAGCACGGCCATTCAGATTGAGGGCACGGAGATGGCGTCATTCTGTCCTAGCGCTGTAGGGTGGCTTAGACGGAAACGTCGTAAAAAAGTTCGGTTGATTTGCGAAAACGTGGCGTTGGATCTATGAAAAC